AATGATAAAAGAATTCAGTGAATTTAAAGAACACACAAACAAGGTAATCGAAGAACTGAAGGAAGATAGGGATAAACTTCTAAATGAATTCAAAAGAGCTAGAAATATTGAAGGCTATTCAGGCTGAAATGAAGAAGGAAGTTTAATGCTCAGTAAGCCAATTAGAAACAACAGGAGAAAACCTCACCAATATGATGAATGAAATGGAAAATAGAGTATCAAGGCTGGAAGATAAAGTGGACGATCTAGTATCAAGACTGGAAGATAAAGTGGATGAACTAGACCACTCAAGCAAAGATTATGAAAAATTTAAGAAATCACAAGAATGGAATATGCAGGAATTGAGTGATACCATAAAAAGACCAAACTTACGAATTATAGGCATATAGGAAGGAGAAGAATCCCAAGATAATGGCATGGACCAGATCTTCAACAGAATCGTGGAAGAAAATTTCCCAAAATGAAAGAAAGATTTGCCCATACAAATACAAGAAGCATATAGAACACCAAACAGACAGGACCAGAAAAGAAACTCTCCACGGCACATCATAGTAAAAACACTACATGTACAAAACAGAGAGACAATTCTGAAAGCTGCAAAAGAGAAACAAGTCACATATAAAGGAAAACCCATTAGGGTTACAGCTGACTTTTCAGTGCAAACTATGAAAGCCAGAGAGCCTGAACCAAAGTATTCTCAGTATTAAATGACCAGAGATGCCAACCAAGATTACTATACCCAGCCAAAAGTCTATTATAGTCAAAGGAAAAGAAAAATCTTCCATGTAATAAATAGGCTGAAGGAATTCATGTCCACAAAACCAGCCCTTCAGAGAGTTCTGGAAGCAATACAAAGAGAGCTGAAGAAAGGAATGACTATACCAAAGGCTCTGCAGAAAGAATTCCAACAAGGGTATAACAGGGTAAAAGTACAGCTATAGCAAGAACATAAACAACAACAAAAAATGACAGGATTCAATACTCATCTTTAATTAATAACTTTAAACATTAACAGACTGAACTCCCCAGTCAAAAGACACAGACCCATCTTTTTGTTGTCTGCAAGAAACTCATCTCATTTCAAGGACTGACACTCTCTCAAAGTGAAAGGATAGAAT